TCAAGGAGGGCTGCAGCTGCAAGGTGGGGTGGCACTGGGCTCTTCCCAGTGGGGGCTGGGCAGGACAGCACTCAGGGCGGGCAGCACTAGGAGTGAAGCTACAGGGGGGTGCTGCAGCCACCCCAAAATTCGCTGTAGCCCCTCTCCAAACCCCCCTCCCAGCACTGCCCGCCCCAAGCACAGTACGGCCCAGCCCCCGCCAGGAAGAGCTTGGCACAGCCCTGGTCCAAGCCCGCAGTGGCAGCCATCCCACCCCACACAGATCTGGGGCACATGCTCCCCATGCCCTCCTGGGGTGAGTGCAGAGCCACCCCCTCCCCCCAACTACACCTGCCAGATGAGCTGCGGCTCCATCCCACACCCCACCCCACCGCACCCAGGCAGCACCTGCTCCAGCCCCACTCCCTCCCTCACTGCAGTGGCCTTGATCTGCCCCCCACCTTCCCTTCCCCCACAACAAACTTACTAGCTGGATGCAGCTCTCCAAGCTGCCAGGCTGTGCTCCTCACCAACCACATGCTGCACCGTGGCTGTGCACATGCATGGGGCATTTATCGGCCACATATGGCTGATTTCCGATACAGACAATTTTCTTTATATCATTGCCCATCCGATATCAACTGATGTATCAGTGCACCTCCATAAATAATCAATTTCAAACTAAAAAACTAAGAAAATTTCTAAATAGAAACTAGTTTCAAGTTAAACTAATAAGAATGCATGGTATCTGTTTGGCTAAGTAAACTCATCACTTCTTTCAAAGATACTAATTATATTTTTATAGCTATCTAAACATTAAATAATTAGTCAGGTTTTGCATAATCAGAATTAAGAAAGAAAGTATTTCAACTGTTGTGCTGTACATAATGACAATGTATACTGCACCACTGACTGAAGCACATGGAAATATTCAGAACTTTGCCTTTGATCTGCATGAAAAGACACTTCATTTCTGGTGTTTATTCAGATCATCAGCTCTAAGGAAGAGTATGCAAGTTATTTTTCTGCTTCCCCAATTTCTTGATGTAAATGCTGTAACAAACTGCAATGTTAAAGGGTACGACTGAATCATCTGCCATGAGTTTGAGATCACATGGAAAAGACATTTCTACCAATGGCACTTAAGAGTTGTTATTGTTTTGCCTTGTTATAGCTAGCATTGTTCATCTCCTCTGAACCAATGGAAAACTGTGGGAACAAAAATGCCACAGTCTGCTTCTTCAGATTCACAGCTGCTGTCCTGGTCCCTCCCCTTCCTCAGTTCCAAGCCACAGCTAGGTGCCTCATTACTTTGAGGGATGGTTCTAAGGCCTTGTCCTTTCCTTAGCATGTCCCACAGTTTGGCTTAAGGCAGCTTGCCACTCAGCTTGCTGGCTTCTGTGACCTTCTTTCCTAAATGTGTAAGTTTCCCCATAAAATGTATCAGGAGCTTCAGCTCTTAATTTCATCCTATGAATGTTACTGAGCCCAGCTAATTAAGAGGGAGGTGAAACAAAATACAGTAAAACCCTTTGTGGAGCTAGCCCCACTCAACTCCAATGCTGAGCACTGAGCCAAACAACGTATTCTTGGTCTCTGTGCAGACATGACTCTCGTTCAGACTCCAAAGTTGCTCCTTTTTTTCCAGACGATTTTGCCTTTGTACTGAATATCAAGCAAATATAAATCAACACTTACATTACAGCATACATTGCAGTATGCTGTAAACTGTAAAATAGTTCCTGAAATTTCCTTTAAAGTTTGCAGTTTCTTTCTGCAACCCTGTCTACAATAAGATACTGCACTCAAATAAACTAAACAATTGTAAGCGGGAACAACTTCAGTCAAGCACATAGGAAGAAATGACAGAGCAGTAGCTTTAACATCTCACTTCAGGACCAAGGCTTAGAGTTCATTTTCTGTCACTGACATTGACTCTGTTGTGCCCCAAACAATTCATAACCTGCCTGGTTTAGTTTCTCTGGTTGTACATAGAGAAGACAAGAACTATATTGATAATAATACTTACTTTGCAGAAAAGTTATGATCACTACTTAGGGTTTGTGAAGTCCTTTGATGATATAAAGGTTTTCATAAGTTTCATCATGTAGTTTTACATTTGGTTACCTTTGCAACTACATAACTTTGTCTATCAAGTAGTTATAAAAGTAGGTATTTGGTCACAAACAAAATAAATTTTGCAGCTGAAAATATTCCATTGATAACTAACAATGCTATATCAATCTTACCATTGACATTGATCAATGACAGGATGTTATCCTGATGGTCAACCAGGCGTTTCACTTCAATAACACCCCAACTTTCTAATTCATTGGTGGAAGCAATCAACCTAAAAATGACTTAAGAGAGAGAGAGTGAAATTTTTAAATCAGCTTTATCACTCATGTAGAGCAAAGCAAACATGTTTAAATAATGCATATAATTTCACTTTGATATAAGCTAATTACTGTGTGAAGGACACAAAACACAGTATTTGCTAATCTGTGCTGGACTGTCTCTTATGAGTTTCTTCACCCCAAAAATATGTCAATTCGTAAACAAAGAACTAAAATTTGAAAAAAAAATCTAAAAACAGGTTTTTTAAAGTACATAAATAATAGTGCAGTTGCTTAGGAATAAGAGCTGCACATACCTTTTAAATTACTGTAATTTACCTGGAATTACTTCAACATCTCTCTGAATATTTACAAAGATCATTTCTCAGACTCAGATGTTCTGAGTTTTCCAGGTGTCTGAAACAGCAAAGGACTTAAGACCTTATTTTAATCTGTCTCTAAATTCCTTTTGTGCCTCATCAAGAAGATTATAAATAAACATTCAGGTGCAAGTTTTACATTGTATGCCCATTTCTAGACATAAGGTTAGTTTTAATTTGTCCCTACTTCCTTTTTCTTAAAATATCACAGATTGCTATTCTTTAGCTACATGCGTTTTGCCTGCCCAACAATGTATCTGGTCTCCAGTTAACTGGAGTTCTCCTATTCTAGCCTCTAAACAACTGAAAGGTACTATGTAACTTGATATTATTTTTAAAGACTCTCCTTAGATATCTGCAAGCTGGCTGCTAGTTCTGTCCAGCTAGAGAGAGCTCTCTCTTCACTCTCTTCAAATAAACACCAGTGGATTCTCACAACATCTAATTATATCCTCTGGATATAATCCCCCAGCATGCATGGCCTTGAGATAAGCAGACTGTAAAGTAGCTTAACAAGAAAAAAGACTCAGGTTGGTGGAGAAAAACATGAAAGCAAAGTGGAAGCTCAAATGGTAAGTTCCAAAGGAGGATTAAGGGGTATTTGGCCTCTGCAAACCAGGCAAAATAATTAAAACACTTCCTAGTTCTTTTGTCAATAGATCCCAAAGATGATTAGATCATCATCATTATCCCTATTTTATAGATGAGGAAATAAGGAAAGGAGGCTACTAAATTAGAGCCAAATACCATTTAATTTTCCTACACCATTACAACAAAATTGATCAGTCATGCATCTCTATCAGCTGCATATCAGAAATTCTTGACTATATAGTGAGACATGAAGATTAATTTGAAATGCAATATGCTTACTCAATTCCTTGCCAACAGCTGCTGCAATGCAGGTTTTAGGCAACTCAACCAAAGCACTGACACCTTTGAAAACATCAGTAAATAAAACAGAAACAGTTATTTTGCACCCAAAAATATACCAGTTAAACAGGCTCTCTTCTCACCATTATAAAAGATGTGGGCTTTTCTTTAAAAAAGTTCAGTTCCATATTTGATATTTTCCACATACGATAGGCCAACCAAATATCACATACATACCAGCAACACACACACACACACTATATTACAGTAAAATCTATAGTCTCTGTACTGGCATACATACACCTGACTACTGTAAAACAGTAAAAGGGCTCCTTTACCAATTGCATGCATATTTAATAAAATACAATGGACCAGATCCTCAACAGGTATACACTGGAAAGGCTTCCTTGACTTTGATGGCACTATGCCAATTGACATATGGTGGCTTTCCAACCCAATGTTTTTCCAAATATTTTTTAAACTTAAACGTAAGAAGCAGGTATACTCTATTACATTATATAATTCAAACTATATTACATACTGATTGCCTAATGCAGGGATTGTCAACCAGGGGTGTGCATACCCCCAGGGGCACTTGAGAAGGCCCTGGGGGGTATGTACAGGCAGGTGGGAACAGAGCGCCACCATGCAGCATCCCGTGCTGCTGTGTAAGTGCCACCCACCTGGCTGGACATTGGGGGTGGGGGGGGGTTGGAAATCGCATGCGGTGGCTGCCGCCACTCTGCATCCAGCCATGTGCCACCTCCCTGCCACCCTGCTCTGCATCGGGCCACCAGGGGTACAATGATCCAAAAAGACTGAAACCCCCTGGCCTAATGTACAGAGATATCATATACCCAAGTTCCAGTGAAATCAATGTCAGCTGTGAAAAAATTAGGCAATGCAATATGAAACTCCTATAACAGAGACAAAAGCCTCTTTCCTTCAATTGCAGGCTCACCTGGGTGTTTACAGTTTTGTGCAAAGTATGATAGCAACTGATTTTGAACATGGGAGTAGAGGGCATCTGACACCTTAGGATCAGGCCCTTATTCAGGAAAGGAGATGCAGTCCTATAAACAAAGAATGGTGGTTGTTTGTGATTGCTTACTATGCAACACTATCATAAGGCAGCTTACTTTAGCCCAATTCAGAACTGCTAGCATTGTTTGCAGCACTATACTACACTTCTACTACAAACTTGACTTAGTAATTTGTTTTTTTAGCTGCCATTCTTTCAACATTCTTTTCTTTCTCTGTTGAGATGAGTGTGTTATGTACAAAGTACAACAGGACTGACTTTTACAGGTAATTCAGGACCCCTACTCCTGACTATAGTTTTCAAAATGTGTCAGACCCTCCTCCTCTTCTCCCTCACTACACTGTCCTTAAGGGCTCTCATCCCCTTAAATAGCTTCAGCTAGCACCCTTGCATTTACAGCTCCCAAACTTGCCTTTTCACTTTTCATCTGCCTCTGATTCCCTTTATCAACATCCCATCTTGGCCTGTCTCCTTGACATGGTCTCTTGAACTTAACATGACTAAAATGATCCTTCCTCCCAAAGCTGCTACCACACGCTGCTTTTTCTGTCACTATCAGTAATATCACCATCTTTTCTATAACTCATGCCCAGAGTCATGATCTCATCTTCACTTTCCCTTGATCCCCACACAAGGCCATGCCCCAAAACTATCATTTTTACCTGCATATTTTGAAAAAAATCAGATTTTTTTTTTTTATTTAAAACCCTCCTACAAGCCCTTATTTCCAGGGCTTCTGCCTTCTTTGTTTCTGGCTTCCCAACCACCCCCTCTTATTCATTAAGAACAGAACTGCTACAATGAGCTTTCTTGTCCATCCAACCATACTGCTCTGCCTCTGAGAGTCTCCTTCACTGTTTCACTGCATCTAAATCATACTTCTTGTCCTTAGCATCTAGAGCCTCCCCTGTACTTTATCAATGATGCCAGTGTAGGCCACCTGCTTACCCTGTCCCACTGTCTATATTTTCCTCCATGCTGCCCTACATGCATAAATGTCTATCACTAACTGATCCAAAGCCCACCATCCCCTTCCACTTCACACCTCTCCTTACAGAGCACTTAATTTGTGCCACTTATGAAAAAGAGCAATGGGGTACAAGTAAAGTGTGCACAGCTTATGAAAAAGGTACATGGTATTGCATATATATTTTCCTTTGGGCTTGTGAAAATTAAATTCTTGACTCAGTACAGCCAGGATTTCACTTCAAGGGTTTTGGAGTAGGTGCCATGTTTTCACATCCATCTGTATAGCAGTTAGGACAGTAAGTCAAAAAGCTCCATCGGAAATTTTAAGTGTTTGTATTTTATGGGCACATCTATGAGACGTTTGCTGTGGAGCCAAGTAATTAACTCCACAATAAAGTCTCAGTGGGTATGTCTAAATGAGATGCTACATCACTGCAGTGACATGCTATGGCAACATAGCATCGGTGAGCGCAAACCGTGACGCCAATGATAATGCGCAGTAGGGTTGGAAATAACCTGTGCACTGCCAAGACTCCACAATAATGGCAGTTACTGCACAGTCATTTAGTAGGTGTGCCCAGTGTCTACACATGCGGCCCTATTAGACCATAGTGAACTAATGAATGGCACTGAAGGACAATACTTGTTACCACAAGTACTATCCTATGGTGGCATTATTTAGCGTGCCGCCATGCACATGTAGACACCGACACGGTTGACTGGGGCATGAGGGTGCTTCAGTGCAGGGACTGCCGGCTGGCTAGCCCTGCACTGGAACAACCTCACGCTCTTCCATGGCACTCTGAGCTGGACTGGAGCAGTCCCAGGCTGGCAGGCTGACTCCCAGAGATACCCCTGACAGCCAGAGCTGCTCTGTCCCAGCTCAATGTGCTGCAGTCCCAAGTGCAAGTGTAAACACTGCACCCAGGAAACAATAAACGCTGGTGCTAACTGCACTATCATCACATGTAGACATGCCCTATAAATAGCAACCTACATACTGAAGGTTTGAATGACAAACGCCCCAAGCATGCTCCAGAAGAAACAGCCTGAAAATGCTTTGTAATCCTCTTCTTTAATATCTACAATGTTCTATATCATCTCCCTTCCAAGTATAAATTAAATGAAGCAAAAAAATTCATTTCTTACAATAGGAAAGTAAAACAGGGTTTAACCCGAGTGACTTACCTCATATTGAGGTAGTCAAGAGATATGCTCCAGAATCCAGCAAGATTATCAATATTATGCTTTTAATACAAGAGGTGAAATTGTGAATGTATGTAATTTTCCTTTGTATGAAGAGTAAAGATCTCTGAGTTCTTCTGTATTATGACAATATGTACTAACCAATCCAGGAAATTTTCTACAGCTTCCTAGCTGCCTCTGCAATGCTTATAAATAACTTAGAGCATGTTCCTTGTGTAATTAGATGGTACTCAAAGCATGGGTTTATTAATAGCTCACAACAGCATGAACGTTCATATTTACTGTGTTTCTATTTAAAAACGTATTTTGTTTGTACAAATTGAATCTTATGATACATTGTGATAAAAAGTCTTTGGTGCTCCATGATTATGAAAAACCTAGTTCCTCCTAGAGATATAAATTACTATAGAGGGCCAGATCCTCAGCCTAATGGGACCATGGATAAATCACCAGCTGAGAATGTAGTCAAAGTTAATGTATAGTTATTGAGATCTGACATTTTACAATTCACACAGCACAGGAGATTGTAGGTTTCCTTAATTCTAAAATGATTAAGTTAACATTTTAAAATATAGATAGAGGGTAACTTTAATATTTAATGTTATCATAAGAATTAAAGAGAGTTGGTTTTGCATCATTATACAGATCCATTTTCCTTATACTTTATCTGCCATAATGAGTCATTTAGATTTTTACCTGCTTCAGTAAGATGACTAGTCTTACACAAGAGATCTAATTTTCTGTTCCAAACACACAGATCACTCCCTCCAGACAACCATACATCCAGTCGTTGAAGAACCGTCAAACACTGCAGAACAAAATCAGATATATGTCCTTTGCAAAAGTTCATTGGGGAATTTTTAATGAAATTTTCATCATCTTTAAATAGGTATAGTGGCAGGTACTCTGAAACAAGAGCGTTGAAATATCAATTTCCTGCAAAATACAGAATTTATATATGAAACAACATTATTTTACTAACACCACTGCAAGTCTTAATTTTTCAGAGATGATCAATATCTGAAGAGCCTACTGAAGACACTGAAAACCATGCAGAAAGAGTGAAATTCTGACCCCACTGAAGTTAACGACAAAAAATTCCTATTAATTTTAATAGGTATATCTAGCCTGTAAATGTACTATGCCAGCCAGCACCTTCAAACATTCCATACTGCTCCAGGCAGGTTACCTCCTAAACCAGAGCAGAAGTCAGAAGCAGAACCAGGAGCAGTCCAAAAAAAAGACTAGACAAAGTCATGGATGATAGAATCAGTAGTTATTAAACAGAATGGTCAGGTATGTACCCTCTGGCATCTCTAAACCAATGACAGTGGATGCCAGGGAAGGTTTAACAGGGAGATCATTCTAGATCAGAGGTCAGCAACATTTTTGGCCAGGATGCCAAAAACACCCCAACCTTGATCCATGCCTCAACTTGGAGTGCCAGAGGCAGAAGGCAGGAGAGCCACAAGGGGCCAGATCCTCGTTGCTGACAGTGGATGCAGGCACCTCCAGGTGGAGAGCAGGGGAGGGGCTGGTGTTGCACTGCCCCGGCCCCTTCCACACTATTCGCCCCGAGGTGTGCGCAGAGCCAGTGCCGGTTCTCTGCACACAATGCAGCTGTTTGCAGCCTGCCCACCACCTGCTGCAGCTACCCAGAGCCCAAGCCGGCTACGGGAGGCAGGTGGGAGAATGCAAACAGTTGCACTAGGTTCCAGAGCCTCAGAACCAGCTCTGGGGCAGCAGCAACTGCACATGCACCTCACAGAACACAGCAGGGTAGGGGACAGGGTTGCACTGCCCCAGGCCCCTTTCCAGCCATTTGCCTGAAATCATGCAAGCAGCCTGGGCTCTGTAGCTGGCAGCAGCTGTCCAAAGCTCAGGCTGGCTGTGACGTGCTAAGCAAAACAGTCTTGCATGCCATGCTGTGGCACACGTGCCAGGGGATGCCGACCCCTGCTCTAGATATATCATATGTTCTTTTGCTAAAGCATCTACTCCTGCCACTGTCAGAGAGCTAGTAGATGGACCATTGGTCTGACCACACACTGCACTTCTTATGTTCTTATAACTGTGTTCACTAGGTGTTGACTCAGTTAATTAACTATGAATTCCAGCAGGGCTAATTAGTCAGAGTACTGTGTCCCCATAGAACCAATTTACCCTTAAGGTTGTCCTAGTATTGTTTCCTTATGACATCAGCTTTTGCAATTTTTCTTCTCTTTCATGGTCTCTCCCTGAAACATTACATTCCTGACAGACAGACGTTTACAAAGGGTCAGTAGCTATTTGTTCATAACTATGACTGCACTTTATATCCTAGGACTTTTGGCACCTTCATTAGTTTTACTATAGTTCATCACAGCATGTTTTTTCTATTAAGCTTATTTGAGTTTATTTTTTTTAAAGAGATAGATTGGAGTGTTGCATACTAGACTCAAATTAGATTATAACTACTAATGCTGTCTGCCACTCCGCACAGCTGGGTATATCTGCTAGGCTTGTCATTTTTGGCCCTACCCCTCCTTGTTTCCAAAAAACAGTGCATATGTAATCTCATGATCAGCTAAATTGCCAAGCCCAAGCCTCAATGAAGTCAGGCATGGAGAAGTGGGAGCATCTCTGCCTGGAAGCTGTGGTCTTCCAAGGCATCGCCACCAGATAACAAGGGCTAGATTTCCACAGGTCAAAAACTATTCCAGGTCAGAAGCTGTAGGTTATGACCCATTACCCAAACTCATTAGTCAAGAGGCCTAACAAATCAACAAGTGTCCTGTAGACACACCTTCTTGATTAGTAGTTGTTGCCTGCCCCGCCCCCCTGCCCCCCCACCACATGTGTAAAGATACCTTTTTGTTCCCAGTGCCTAGTTCTCAGTCCCTCCTCTACCTGTGAATGTAGCATTCTCAGCTAACTAAAGTGTAGACTGCTGTTCATTTTAATGCATTTGGTCTTCACATGTCTCATCAGCTTTTACTACATGTGTATTACACATACATAAGCTTAGAACACAACTGGAGTTTCTTCTTTACCTTCACGGTAGAATGGAAGGAAGTTACTTTCTGAACTTGCCTGCCACTATTACAATCCCAAACCTGAATTCATTTATTAAGGAAAAAAAAAAGATTACTATATTTAAAATGTCTTTGCTCTGTTTATAGAAATAAATATCCAGAGGCACATGTAAGTTTTCTAAATCTTGGCCTAATTTTCAATGTTTGGGCATGCTGAAATTTCACATTACCATTTGTTATTATTAATAATTTATTACTTTTGTAGCAGGGGCCATAGCTAATCATGGACAGTAGATACAGCAGGGCCCCAATTCTGATTATGGCCTTTGAATGGTATCATAACAATCACCAGCTGGCTTTGCCTGGCTCACCACTCCCTCTAAAATCAGTAGAATATTCTTCAGGTTGAAGGATACAATAACTGTCCTATCAGCAGATGCTGTTAAGATCAAATGTTTTTCATCTTCACAAGCACTAGGTGAAGGAAAGGCTGTAACAGCTGTAATCTTGTGTGTGTGTCCGTGTAGCTCAAATAGTTTTTCTCCAGTCTGAAAAATAAAAATGCATCAAAAACTAAAATAAGAATAAAACTCTGAAAAGCACACAAATCCAGTAAGGTCTAGGTGCTTGTGTGCCTTATGAAAAGTAGAACTTAAACTGCTAAATATAAGAAGATTCACTTCAACAAGCATATAACTTAAGCAGAAAATACAACTCTCCTCCAAAGTTGGACATGCACAAGTTTTCCATCCATAAACAGTTTAAGAAAGTGTGTGTATACTTTTATATCCATTACTGTTACTTGCATATTCATTCTCACCCAGACATATTTCTACTCCAAATTCGAGTTATGAAGTATCTTTTATAACAATGAAGCATTCTACTAAAACTGGGAGCAGCAGAATTTATTTGTTTAGGAATATTTTTAATGAACCAACTACATAAATGGGAGAGACGTTAGACTACCTTTCAAGCAGAAAATGCTCTTCTTCAAACCAGAACAGAGGGTATTTTGTGCCTGAAAGCTTTAACCAGAAAGAGACTTGGGGGTCATCATTGCCCATAAGATGAATATGAGCCTACAATGCGATGCTGTGGCTAGTAAAGCAACCAAAACACTGGCTTGCATCCATAGATGCTTCTCAAGCAAATCCCGGGATGTCATTCTCCCCTTTTACTCAGCCTTGGTGAGGCTGCAGCTGGAGTACTGCGTCCAGTTTTGGGCTCCACAATTCAAGAAGGATGTGGAGAAGCTTGAGAGAGTCCAGAGAAAACCCATACACATGATCACAGGTCAGGAAAAAGACCTTATGATGACAGGCTGAGATCTATGAGGCTCTTTAGCCTGGAAAAGCGCAGGCTCAGGGGTGATCTGATGGCCACCTATAAGTTTATCAGGGATGACCATCAGTATCTGGGGGAACATTTGTTCAGCAGAGCGCCCCAAGGGATGACAAGGTCGAACAGTTAGAAACTACTGCAAGACCGTTTCAGGCTAGACATAAGGAAGAATTTCTTTACTGTCCAAGCCCCCAAGGTCTGGAACAGCCTGCCATCAGAGGTGGTTCAAGCACCTACATTGAACACCTTCAAGAGTAAATTGTATGCTTATCTTGCTAGGATCCTATGACTCCAGCTGACTTCCTGCCCTTCGGGCGGGTGGCTGGACTTGATGATCTTCCAAGGTCCCTTCCAGCCCTACTGTCTATGAAATCTGTGAAACTGGAATGAGGTTTACATGTAGTAAGCAATTAAGGCTCTTTCCTACATAGTGGGTACATCTACACTACACTTTACTGAGGAGTAGACTAATTATTTCCACAGTAAAGTGTCACAGTCTACACATGCACTGGTATTAGGGAGCAGTAAACTAATTAACTTCAGTGTAGGATAGCACCGCCAGGGACAGTACTATCTTACGGCAGAGTACTTTACTGTGCCAAAACGCACATGTAGATGATGACCATGGGTGTACATTGTGCCTGGTCAGCCCAGCCGATTGCTGTTGTCCGGGGCATATGTGTAGACACTGCACCCAGGAGCAGCTGACTCCAGCTCAAACTGCTCCAAAGCTTATTGCATCACATTAATTGCACATGTAGATGCACCTAGTGTTATGCATTTAAACTCTCACTGACTTGAACTTCGTCTCACAGATCTAATTTGTAAAGACGCCTTAGATGTACTCTGGGGGGGTGGTGGCGGGGGGGGAGAAGGAGAAGGGATAAGGGTAATTAAACCAGCTGTCTGGAGCTCTCTCAGATGCTCAGTTTCACATCCAACTTTTCTGAAGCTGACAAGCCTGAAACTTTCTAAATATTTTTATTTTTGTTCAATTAGACATCTCTATAAAACCAACTCATATTTGTACTATTGTCTGTCTCCTGTAAATGAAGGCACTCTTAAGTCAATTCTGCAGTCATAACAAGTGTATAATATGCTACACATAGTTACATTAAGTTCAGTGGAGTGAACATCCCTTTATGCTGGGTTGAAGAATAGAATCAGCCCCTCTCTCCCCAAATTCACCTCTAAAGAAATCAAACCAACCTGAGCATTCCATAAAAATATAATTCCATCATCTCCTGCAGATGCAAATCTGGTAAAAAGCAGAAAAATAAAAAGAAATGAGGAAAATGATAGAGATATTTTTAGCATCATACTATACACCAATATTCACCAATTAAATACAAATAATTATTTAATTTATAAGAAATGTTTATATTAACCTGAAGCATAAAAAGTTACTTGTAAACTCCAAGTATTATTTAGAAACCAAGGTCACTTGAATGTTAATTAATAAGCTAAGACGGTCTACCATTAAAGAAGAAGGCTCAAAAATAGTGTGCTATGAAATCTGTCACTTTCTGCAAGAGGACTACAGAAACAATGTTCTTTCTGATCAGAAGTTTAATGTGGTGGTGGTTTTTCTTTAAACATAAAATAAAGACAAACTAATATTCTAGTAGCTTTTCTTCTACACAAATGATTTAGAATAACATTTTAACAAGTTACAAAGCTGGATTTCTTAAAAGTTAAATTCAGCCCTGGAGTGTTGGAATCCCACATTTTTCCTAACACCATGTTCTTTTAAGTAACTTAACACAAGAGCTCTCTTAGTGGCTAGGCTGAACCGCTGTATATAACACCTACTAAAACCCACTAAGGGGCCTACCCTACATCTACAGTAGGAAAAATGGTCGGATTCTGGTCTGTTCCTAAATAGCTCATTTTAAGCACAACCCAAATTCCAACTTTTTTCCTAGTCTAGAAAGCACCTCTGTAAGCTTGCCTTAGGTTTGCCTACAATAACAGTTTAGCAGCCTGACAGCTGAACTATCAGCAAATAATTGTTACTAGTTTTTCTAAGACCGAGTCACCCTCTATCTAGTAACTGACACAAATCGTTCTGATATGTCCTAAAGATATTTGAATTCATCTCTTGATTAGGACTGTATTGACACTTGAATTTTTATTTGTGTTTTAGGCTGCAGCCAAGGATTAAATAACCAGTATGTGTGTGACATTTAACTACAATTTTCAATTGCATTAATTATCACTACAAAAATCCAACTGTAGACACTAGGAAATTATACAAAGCCTCTGGTGGAAGAAATAGAAGAGAGAAGGAAGCAGAAAGGAACAAAGAAGAAGAAATCCAACCAGACATATCAAAAAGTGTGTGGAAACTAAAATGTGGATGCTACTGATAAAATGAAAAGGAGAAAGGAAAGAAAAGGGTAAAGGGAAAAAGGAATGTTGGTAATAAGTGTTAGGCAGAAAGTTGGTAGAAAATGGTTTACTTTTTGAATGATCAAAATAGAACTTAGCTGGTATTGCATGGCATTGTGTTTAAAAAATTGAACTGGATATGAATTAAGCCCCAAGATATTCCTGTGAAGTAAGCAACATTTCAGGCAGAAATATAGCACCAATTCAATATAAGCAGCCCCTCACTTTTAACAATCCCAACAGCAGAAACTGATCTTTTCATTTTGATAATGAAGCAAACTGACAAACTCCATCAGGATGAATACCCTCTTTAAGCCAATGTTTCTTCTAATCCTATGGGGGCTTGTTATAACACAGTTGTCTTGTAGTTGCCCCCATTAACTGGAATCCTGTAAAAAATGTGTGTATGCGGTGGAGGGGGGAGGGATTAATTTCAACATATCAACAATTGATGGATACCAAAATAAAGGAAAATGAAAGATATGATAGCTTACCTCTTTCCTCTTACCTGCTATTTTTCCTATCCCCTATATCCAGAATTTTAAGGAAGAGGTATGGGGGGGTAGGGCGTGGCAGGAGTGTGTGGAGGGGATGGGTGTGTGAGAGGGTAGTGGGTGCCTGCTGGCACTGGGAGAAGCTGTCCAGGTGCTGGGGTTGCATCAGCATGGGGGAGGCACCTGCCTCTCCACCAGGGGAAGGGGATGGGGAACAGGGAGCTGCGTGGCTGGGATGGCAGCACCAGGGTTGGTGCCTGTACTCACAGGGGTGGGGCAGCCATAAAATGCTGCAGGGAGCAGGGAGTTGCAGGTCAGGAGTGAGGGGCACCAGTAGAACTGGGAGGGCAGGGAGCTGCAGGTCAGGAGTGAAGGGCAGTGGCAGGGCTGTGGGTCAGGAGTGCAGGGTACAGGCAATGCCAGGGGACTGTGGGTCGGGAGTGAGGGGTATCAGCATGATCCGTGGGGTGGGGTACTGTGGATCAGGAGTAAGAGGCTGCAGCAGGACATATCACTGCCCCCCCCACACACACAATCATATTACCCCCCAATCCCAACAGGTGTTCTCTTTTTTGAAACTGGAAATACGGTAACCCTAGTCTGAAAGGCAGCCCCCATAACTTTGTGAATTAAGCAGTATCCCATTTCAAAACTAATTTAGTTATTATAGTGCTTACCTGCTTGGACAAATGACTAGGGAAGAATACAAGATTACTGCTTGGGCATGCAGGGATAAAAATCAGAAAGGTGCAAATGAAACTGGAGTTACAGCTAGTAAGGGATGTGAAGGCTAACTACAGTAAAATCCCTGTTTTCCGGCATTCTATTAGCTGGTATACTTTATTAACCAGCACTGCGCTGCCACCATCCACCACTCTGCACCACTACTGCTGCGTGCAACCCCCCCCGTGCCACCGCTGCTGCCATTCACCACCCTGCACTGCCACCACCACATCCAAGCCTCCCACCCCTGACTTTGCTATTTTTAGATAACTGGCATTTTTACATTAACGGCACCCACCATTCCCTACTCATGTCAGATAATGGAGATTTTACTGTAGAAGGGTTTCTACAAGCATATCAGCATCAAAAGGAAAATCAGGGAAGGTGCGGGTCCCTTGTGGGAGGCAACCTAATGACAGTCAATGCAGAAAAGGCTAAAGTAATGTAGGCCTTTTGTAACTGAGTCTTCACAGGGAAGGGCATCTCCCAGACTACTGCAAGCACAAGCACAGTTTGGGGAGGAGGTAAGCAGCCAACAGCGGCAAAAGAACAGGTTAGCGACTATTTAGAAAAGCAGGACATGTACAAATCCATGAGGCCACCAGACACAATGCATCTGAGTATGCTGAGGGAGTTGGCTGATGTGACTGCAAAGCCACTGGCCATTATTTTTGAAAACTAGTGGAGATTGGGAGATGTCCTGGACAACTTGAAAAGGCAAACATAGTGCCCATCTTTTAAGAACGGGAAAAATGAGGATCCAAGGAACTACAGACTGGTCAGCTTCCCCTCAGTCCCTGGAAAAATCATATTAACCATAAAAGCAGGTCCTCAAGGAATCCATTTCTAAGTACTTGGAGGAGGAGAACGTGATTAGGAACAGTCAGCATGGATTCATCCAAGGCAAGACAAGACTGACCAACCTGACTGCCTTCTTTGACAATCCTCTGTGGATGTGGGGACAGCAGTGGACATGATATACCTTGACTTTCACATGACTTTTGATACAGCCTCCGACAACATTCTCACAAGCAAGCTAAGGAAGTATAAGGATGAAAGTAAGGTGGATTTAACTAGAATTTTCAATTGCATTAATTATCACTACAAAAAGTCCAACTGTAGACACTAGAAAATTATACAAAGCCTCTGGTGGAAGAAATAGAAGAGAGAGGGAAGCAGAAAGGAACAAAAAAGAAGAGATTCATCTGCCTGGATTGTTGGCCTCAAAGGGTAGTAATCAATAACTTGATGTCTAGTTAGCAGCCAGTACCAAGAGAAGTGCCCTAGGGGTCAGTCCTGGGGCCAGTTTTGTTCAATATCTTCATCAATGATCTGGAAGATGGAATTGAGTGCACCCTCAGCAAGTTTGCAGATCGACACTAAGCTGGGGGGAGTACTAGATATGCTGGAGGATAAACCTTGACAGATTGGAGGACTGGACCAAAAGAAATTGTCATGCATCCCCAGAGAGCAGTGGTGGACCAAAAGAAATTGTCATGCATCCCCAGAGAGTGGTGGTGGATGGGTCATTTTCGACCTAGAGGGATGTGGGCAGTGGGGTTCCCCAGGGCTTGGTCCTCGGGCCCGCACTGTTCAACATCTTCATCAGTGACTTGGACGAGGGGGTGAAAAGCACCTTGTTCAAATCTGTGGATGACACTAAGATGTGGGGAGAAGTGGGCATGCTAGAAGAGAGGGACAGGCTACAA